GTCACCAGTGATAATTAACACATCCTGATTGCATGTTTGGTCAATTTCAGACTGTAGAAGCTGATACAGTTCTTCAGTTTCCTCATCTTTGGCTTTGGTGGTTGGGCATAAATTTGAATAACAGTCATATTAACGGGTACAACATAGTACACAAAAACATTGTTCTACATCCTGCTTTGATGAGTAGCCACTGGAGTCTTAAAGCTTGTGAGCAGTCTTCTGAGATGCAACAATTGGTCTCTCCTCGCTCAGAGCAAAGAAGAGTGAAGAAAATCAGAAACACGTAGAAACTGTCCAAGGGACCAGAGAACCATGGGAACTACAGCCTATATGACCTTGAGACCAGAAGAACTAGATGGTACCCAGCTACCAATACCAACCACTCAGAAAGGGATCAAAATTTGAGATCCTGGATAGAGTGGGAGGAAAACTGTGATACAAAATTCAAAAACACCAAATGACCAGAATTACTGGTCAGATAAGAGACTGGTGGAACCCTCAAGACTACAGCCCTGAAATCACCCTTCCAGGCTGGAATTGAACTCACTCCTGTGGCTCAATTCTCAGCCAAACAGTAGGCAGGCCTACTAGCTGAACAGGGAACTCTGGTGGTGTAGTGGCCTAAGGCATTTTACTACTAACCAGAAGGCTAGCAGTTCAAACCTGGTCACCAGCCACTCCTCGGAAGGAAGACTCAACAGTCTACTTCTGTATAGATACTGCCTCAGAAACCCAAGGAGGGGTTGCTATGAGTCAGATCAACTCAACAGCAGAGAGTTTGTTTTGTTTTAGACTAGCTGAACAACTACATCAGGGAGAAGTACTACTTAGAACAATCAACCATAGGAGATCAGAAGGGCAGCATTTGCACAGGGAGAAAATTAGGCAGGCAGGAACACCTAAGTAAGAAGGACACAAGGAAGGGGTAACCACAGGGAGGAGGTAGGAAGAGAGCTGTTATATTGTAAGGATTGTAATCAGGGTCACAAAACAAAATGTGTATGAACTGTTGAATGTAAAATGAATCTGCTTTGTAAAAGCACGATAAAAGTTAATAAAATGCTTTTCTCTGTTATATACTTAGTGAAAATATTGAAAACATAATTTTGCTTCATAAAGGAAAAAAATGATTAAAGTGTTGGCTATTTCAAATTACTCAATTAAAATTTCCTTTTTCCTTTAGGGTGATCAGTTATGAAGAAGGGAAAGCTTTAGCAGAATCTTGGAATGCAGCTTTTTTGGAGTCTTCTGCTAAAGAGAATCAGGTGTGTATTTTTTAAACTGAATTCAGCACTGCATTCCCATCAGCTGTGGTCATATATTCCTCTTACCAGGATTTCATCTTCATCTCCATCACTCATGGTTCACTTCTAGCCTTCCACTATTTGTAATACCAATTTTGGGGGTTTCATTAGAAAGGATACTGTTGGTATTTAAGATTCTACTTAGGAGGAGACCTAGAATATGTGTAGAACACACAGAAATTAATAGAAAGGAGATACTACCTTTTGTAAACATACTTTATTGTAGTCATTTTATAGTAAAGGCTGATACACCAATAACTATGACGTAGAAAACAAAAAAAAAAATTAACTTAAATCATGTGGCAATAATTTTTTAATCACATCTCCTCCTTTTCTGTAGGATAAAACTGAGTCAGTTTTATATAAAATTTTTAAGATGGACAATATTAAAAACCATTCTACAGGTATTTATTACCAACTTAAGCCCTGTAGATGTTCCTTAAGAGGCACATCCTAGGAAACATGTAAATTCGATTTCAGAAGGTATCACTTAGCTCATTATCCTTTTCCTTCCATTGTTTTAATTTAGATTTGTGTTCTCTCATCAAGACCTATGACAGCCAAGCTTGTCTCCTGCTTCCATTGTTTTCACCAATAAACTCTGCTGTCTAAAGCGGCAAATCAGATTATCTCATCCTCCACTCAAAAACTATTGATGAGTTTCCCATTGTCTATAGTTTCCCAAAAATCTTAGCATGATATGGGTGGGGCGGCATGTGATTGACACTTTTCTTGTTTCTTCTCTCATCCCATCCCTATACTTTTCAGTCACACCAAACCACTTCAGCAAACATGGATACTTTCAAAGTGCCTCACCTTTACTTATGCTCTTCTCTAGCTTAAATTATCCTTTCTGTAATTAACTTCTTATATTCATATGGTATCTTATAGTTTTATTTATCTTGTTTGATCCTCAAGTAAGATGAGTTGATTTCCATTACTATGAAGAAAGTGCAGTTCAGTTTAAGGTAAATGACTTATTTTCAGTACATATAGTTAATAAACAGTTGGGCTGGTTATGTTCTTTCCCTGCTCACCCATTTTTCCACCTTTATTGAAAACAGTAGCCCTCAGGCTCAGCTAAAATTTCATCTTCTCATTGATGCCTTGATTCATCAGCTAAAATTAACAATAGTTACTTCTCTCTTATGGCCCTTAATTCATTCTGACATCCAAGACATATTGTTTACCTTTAAATTCTTCATGATATTCAGTAACGTTTTTGTTATCTTAATAGGTTCTCAGTATCCCTTAATGCTCAGGTCTGTTGGGTTCCTCTGTTTAGATAAACCCAAACCCACTGAACTCATAGCGACCCCATAAGACAGCATAGAACTGCCTTCTTTATAGAGTTGCCAAGGCTGTAAATATTCGCAGAAGCAGACTGCATCATCTTTCTTCCATGGAGCAAGTGGTGAGTTTGAACCGTCAACCTTTCAGTTAGCAGCCCAATGCTTTAACCACAGCGCCACCAGAGCGATATTAAATCTGTGTAATTGGTTCCCAAGTTGCACATAGCTGAGGGATTTAACTAAATCTTTCAGTTCCTGAGCATAGATACTTAGATTTCAGATATCAAGAGTTCCTAGGTAAGAGATACATATAGTAGAATTGAAAGAATACCTATTATGTTGGTGGCAAATAAGAAAGACCTACATATGGAAAGCTTAAGTCCAAGATGATTTAGTTACTGAAGTTCTATATACTGGGTCCCTACTCTGTTCTCATCTAGTTAAACCATCTCATTTTAAGGTGAAGAAGGTAAGATATGACCCAAAGAGGCTAACTGACTTTTTTAAAATCACTCTACACTTTTCATATGGTAGTAAGAACTAGGACTTTATAACTCAGCTTTAAATCTAGCCAAAATCTAATTCTTTTTCTTCTATACTATGCTTTTTTATTAATGGGAAAAGAGGACCTTGTGTACAACTGAAGTGTAATAGAGACTGAAATGTTTGTCATGTGGGCAGTTGGAGCTATGTGGAAGGTGGAAACTCTGTTAGATTAAAGAGTCTTTGAGACATAGCAGGTGCTGTGTGAAAACCTTAATTGAAATCCAATTTTAAAAATACTAATGTAAAAGATATTTTTGAACAATTGTGTAATATATTCTGGACATGTTAGGGAACATGTTTTAACTTCTCTCAGGTACAATGGTGGTATTGAGATTATAAAGAGAGTATCTTTATCCTTAGGAGTATAGACCAAAGTATTTCAGAGCCAAGTCTCATAACGTCTGCACTTTATTGATATGGAATGGATGCAACTTCATACATAGATTGATCAGTTGATAGATTGATACAGGTAAATAGATGATGAATAGATAGATAGGTCAAACAAATATGGCAAAGATGTTAATAGTTGAGTCCAGATAGTAGGTGTATGTGGTTATTGTGTAATTCTTCCCAAAATTTTCATAAGACATGTTTGGGATGGAGGAGTGCAATTGAGTGGTGTGTCTACAAGCTGTCTTTGGATTCTGATTGCCAGCTTCACTCTATTTGTTTCTCTTGGTGAGAATCTAAGAGTCCTAAAGCAATTAAAGTACTCTATTTAACATTATAATGAAGTTGACATCATCACTATTCATGTAGGTTTCATCTGGTACACATATATATGTGTGAGAGAGAAAAAGTGTATGAGTGGGTTACCGTTCTGTGCTTTTTGCCTGGCAGATTTTATTATTCACTCCAGCAGCCTTGAAGGTGGCATAGATGCCTTATGGGCCCTACTCAATGTAATTAAGAGTGGTTTTTAATAAAGCACATTGTCTTGGGTAAGTTTAATGTTTTTGAGTGTAGCCTATAGTAGTTTGTTTATAAAATACGTTATTAAACCATTTGGTCTCCGAACGCAAGTCTTGTATCCAGATTATGTTGTACTCTACTATAATTTAAGGTTTTCAGTTTAAATCTAGATAGGTTGATATTTTTATATTTTGGTTTTGTTAGAAGGTAGTATAAAAAAAAAAAAACTCACTGCCATCCAGTCAGATCCGAGTCATGGCGACCCCTCCTTTGGTTTCCAAGGCAGGATCACTGCAGAGTAGATTGCCCAATCTTCCTTCCAGGGAGTGGCTGGTGGGCTTGAAATGCCAGCCTTCTGGTTAGCAGTCATATGCCTTAGGTACTTTGCTACCAGAGCTCCTAGAAGGTAGTATATTGCTTTTTAATAACCAGATAAAAGATGGATCATGCTGAATGCTTTAGAAGTTAGCATGAGAAAAATTACCACTGTAATTTTTTGCGGTTTTTATAGATTTAGCAGATTTATTAGCTAAACCATTTCTTCTTGTTCTCACTTTTCCTTTTTGGCCAGCTTAAATTCTAAGATTCATAGATTAACAAAGAAGCCAAGGGTCTTATATGGTAGCCTCAAACATCTTAAGCTAAACAAATACTATTTGCTCTGACATTATTACCATATCAATGCGTACTTTATTATAATGGTCTTTTAAGGCAAAAAGAGTCTTGTACCCAAATTAGGTAAATACAGTGGTGTCATTGGGTAATATGGTTGGAATGTTCTGGTCAAAAATTTGAAGGGCCTGACTGGTGGTTTCTATTTGTTGCTGTCTGTTGTTTTACTTCTCCTCTTGTTGAAAGTACTGTAGATAATTTGCTGATCCTAATCATAATGAATTTTCGCCTTGTCATATGGAGAAAGAATCAAGGGATTCTAATCCCTTGCCTAAGTGACTCTTACTTAGGAGACATAAGTGATTCTAATTCCTTAATTTTAAAAAGCCTGTCACCTTACTTATTAAAATGATTACTACTCATTTGCCTGTTTAATAGGGGGATACAAAGATATTTATAGTCTTGTGATTTTATCAATTTGTTTGGAATTCTCAAATCTTTTATTGATAAAAGTTGTCAGTAGAATACAGCCTGTTTATAATTTGTAATACTTAATCAAAAATGCAGTGTTTTAAAATAAACCATCCTAAGCAGAGTTCAGTCAACTTTATTGATAACAAAGTACATAGTAGTAAGAATTGTCACCATGTTGATGAGAATACTGCTTTTTTGACTGTCAGTGAACTGTGGGGTGTCTTTTTAATTCTTTATTTACTGGTGATAAACCTTCACCTTTCTTTCAGCTGTTTGATGAAAGAGAATGTACTTTGACAGAGTGAAATCACATAGACAATCAAGGCTAGTTTTAAGATTCACATAGAAGAGTCAAATACCAGGAATGCTTTATTTTTCTTGGTAAGAGTTTATGTATATATTTCCAAATATTTTCATGTGCATTTTTTGAGACTAGAATAATTTGTTTGTATAATTGTGAAAAAGAGGGAGGAAATTAATAATGCAGAAGAAAGAGGGAAGAATTGCTGAAGCCAGTAGAGACATCTAATGAATGCTGCTTCTGTTTCCCCAGTGAAATTGGAAAACAGGGTTGTCAGCTAAGTATGAGAATTAGGGAGCCATGGGGGCGGAATTAGAAATTTGAGGAGAAACAAAGTGTGAGATACTCATCTGGAAGAGTTACTATACTAAGGAAATTCACCAGTTTGATTGTGAGCAGAACTAGGGGCTCACTTCAGATACCTGGACAGGGATTTAAAGAGAGAGCTATGGGTAGTATTAAGCTTTCCTTGCCTGCATTTGTGTATGGTTGCAGGTACCAAGTTCCAGACACTGTTGAGAAGAGAGTTGAAGTACAGTGACTGTAATGGTGGACCATGGAATCTAAGCTGGCCATGGAGAACAGGAAGCAGTTTATGAATGGAATATGTAGGCGGATCAATGAATTGTAGGTTCCTGTGGGGTTGAGAATTGTTGAGTTCAGGATACGAGGAAAAAGTGAGTTAGGAAGATGAGTACAGTAGAATACTTGAAATTGAGATGATGGAGGAGATGTGGTCATTAGTGATGATGAGATCCAAATACTCCTTCCCTGTCCCATGGGGGCTTTTAGGAGGAAAAAAAAAATTTTTTTTAAATCCTCACAACGACTTCAGGTGCTGTTGGCATTTAAAGGACAGGGAATGAGAATACTAAAACACACTTCAGTGTAAGAGAATTTTCTGCCCCAAAAGTCAATAACTCCTTGTTACAAAGGACTGGTAGGGCGTAGCCAAGAGAGTGAGAGACTGAGAACATCAGAGAAGAGGAAGTCAAGCATCTGAGAGGCCAGAATATAGAAAGCATGGTTTGTGAGTTACAATTACCAAGAAGTATCCCTGACATGATGGTAGAGACTTGATGCTGCCCCATGAAGAATGAAAGAAAGTGATCTGAGTTTGCACAACCTGTATCGAGGGAGGCTAGGAATGATCTGTGTAGTCTTGAAGATTCGAAGCTGGGAGTTTTAGGGAAAGGGATTGGAAAGGCTCTGAGGGAGAGCCTCGACCATACCTTGGGTCTTATGATAATAGGAATAGAAGAGAGAAAGTGGTTCTCTTTTGCAAAGACTGCAGGGAAAGTGTCTTCAGGGAAAATTAGAGCGAAAAAGTGAAGAAAGATTTTGCTGATACTCAACCTTGAATTTCCAGAAAGCACAGTGGAAGCAAATAGTGGGGAGGAGTGGGATAGGAGATGATGGAGTCTGGGGCTGAGCTATCTTGGGCTTCTTGTGGTGATTTCTTGAAACTGGGATCAGAAGCACACTATGAGGTTGATTCTAATGGTCTCAAGTCAAATGGTGATGTTAAGCTGGGGGAGGGAGGAAGTGTAGTCTGAGGTACCTGTGGCTTACCTGAAGCCTGCTGAGCTCAGGTGACATCCTCAGATTGAATATCTGCAGTTGCAGGAGGACTAGGAGAGCAGCATGCCTTCTTCACTTCTGCCAGCAGGAGAACTATTTATCAGGGTCTGCTTTGGAGTCCCTGGATAGCACAAACAGATAAGCACTCAACTACTGACCTAAAGATTGGCGGTTCAAACCCACACAGAGGTTCTTCAGAGTAAAGGTCTGGTGACCTGTTTCCGAAAGGTCATGGCCTTGAAAACCCTATGGAACAGTTCTCTACATACATAGGGTCACCATGAGTCAAAATCAACTTGACAACATCTAACAGCAACACTTTAAAACTGATAAACATTGTGATTGGTTTTCTCTTTTTAGACTGCTGTTGATGTTTTTAGAAGGATAATTTTGGAGGCAGAAAAAATTGATGGAGCAGCTTCACAAGGAAAGTCTTCATGCTCGGTGATGTAATTCTACTGCAAAACCTGAGGACACTGGGAATATATTTTACCTGAAGAAGCAAACTGCCCATTTTCCTTTAAGATAAACTATGCTTCTTTTTTTCTTCTGTTAACCTGAAAGACATCATTTGGGTCAGAGTCCCTCCCCCCTCAGATTATGTTAAACTCTGTCCAAATGAGTTCACTTCCATTTTCAAATTTTAAGCAATCATATTTTCAATTTATATATTGTATTTCTTAATAATATTATGACCAAGAATTTTACCGGCATTAATTTTTCAGTGTAGTTTGTTGTTTAAAATAATGTAATCATCAAAATAACTATTGTTACACTACTCTAAACTAAGCTTGATACATCAGTGTTTATTTCATTGTGTTAAATGTATACTTGTAAATAAAATAGCTGCAAACCTTGATCATTTGTGTTACTTAATATGGCTTGTAGAGATGAAAAGCCTGGTTCTCCTGAGAGTTTTCTTGGCCTTTAGGAAGGCTCAGAATGGGATTCCAGGAACTGGTGGGGAAGAGTGTGTCCGCAGAAGGTAGCTTGCCAACCCCTCTTAGGCCCCTGCTGACCAAAAACGTGCTTGGCTGCTGAACAAGCCTCAACAAACAAGGAGCTGGACTTGGTGGCAAATGGTGAATTTGAAAAAAGTGTTAGAATTGGGATGGATTCAAATGGATTGAAGCAGGGTGGCCTTGAGAAGTGTGTGAAGGGGAATTAAAACAGAAAAACCCACTGCCATCAAGTGAATTCTGACTTACAGCAATCCCCAGTGATTACTGTATTCTTTCCTTTTTACCCTAAAAATCTCTAAACTTTGATTAGAATATTTAGCAGTAGGTAGGACTGTGGTCATTTATTTAGCCTAGTATTCTTGTTATCCATTTGCTTGTCCATCTTGCTATTTGAAGAAAAGGAAGTGTTAAGAGGCACTTTTTGAGACTTGCTTATTACTATCCCATAACCTCCAGTTGTTTAAAGGATGAAGAATATTAACAGTAAGGGTTCTGTGTTGGCTTCATAAGACACAGACTATATGCTGCAGCATTGAAGGAGAAAAGATTTGTATGTTGTTCACCATCTTGTGTACAGTTCGAGTTTTGAATTGAACAGCGTTTTTTAAATGGTATCCCTTCCTATCCTTTCCAGTTAAAATGTCACAGGCCATTTCTAACATTTAAGCAATTGTTATCATTGATTTTATTAGTAAAATATAATTTTGCTTTAACTGATTTTTAATGAAAAATTATGTTTAATTTGACAACACAGTATTGTTACTCATTAATAAGATTTATTAGTACAGCTAGAATGTTCCATAGAGTGGAGGATTCATCTTACATGCTTTGGACATTTTCAGAAGGGCCAGCCCCTGGCAAAGGACATCATGCTTGGCAAAATAGAGGGTCAGCGATAAAGGAATACCTTCAGTGAGATGGATTGACACAGTGGCTACAGCAATGGGTTCAAGCATAGCAATGATTGAGGATGGTACAGGGCCAGGCAGTGTTTTTGTTCTGTTGTACACAGGGTCGGAACCAACTTGATGGCACCTGACAACAGTAACATTCTTTGGCCTACAAATGTGTCAAACCACATTAAGTCTGAGTCCAGTTCATCCAAGTCAACATTTTTAGTCTGAAAAGTTATTTCTATGTAAATAGGAACTCTCAGAAGCATATTTACACAGAAATGTAAATACAACCCTCATCATCAGAGTGGCCCCTTAGGGTCTGGATCACATAGACTTCTGATTGGAGAATATCTTACGATTGTATCATTGCTTTTCATGTTGTAGTTCATCCATTCATGCAAATATCAAATCTGCACTTGTAGAATGTTAATTCTACAGATAACCATGGTGACAACACAGAAGCCACTCCTGCCTTCCCAATGCTGTGACGCTATCCACAAGCCATTTGATTAATTTATTTGATGGGGCAGGCATCTGTTACATTCTAAACATCTTACTAAGGCTCATGGTTTTCAGTGACTGAATCCATTAACCTCCTGATGATTATAGTAGGTGGTTAGTGAATGGTATCTATTCCATGCTAAGTGTTTTGGTTTGCTTCAAGCCCTGTGAAATAGGTACACGATTTTTACACTTGAGGAAACAGTCTTGGAGGTATTAGATTGTCTGAGGTTACGTTTTAACATTTCTGAAATGTAAATGAGTCTTGGAATCAATAGCAAAGCTTAAGAGGTGATGTTTTTTTTGTTGGTCTGTAAATATAGTCAGATTCATTGAAGTACAATAAGAGCAAATATAAATTAATAACTTTCACAGCTCAAAATTAGGTTTCAAAATACAAATTATAAAATCAATTACAGATTAATGGGGATATTTTGCTGAAACTGAATTGCCTATCTACTCTTAATCCATTCATCTTTCACTCTCTTTTCATTGAAACTGCTCCTGTACTTCATCATCACTCAGAATATCTCCTCTGTACCCAAAACACCACATTCTCCTGGTTTTCCACCCTGCTTACTGTTAGTGTGTTAAGCTCCTTCTCTGGTTCCTTATCTACGAAACCTCTCATTGAACGCTTTTTCTTGTCTGTGCCCTCATCTTTGATCTTCCTAGTCACATTGCTTTAACTACCAAGTTTCCTGAAGAGTCCACAATCCCTCTCTCTTACTCTGACCCCTGGGCCCCAGGCTTGTACTTGACAGGCATCCCTACTTGGATGTCTCAGAGGCATCTCAGATGTATTAACGTCCAAAGCTGAATTCTTGATTTTCTTTAAAAACATGGCTCTCTGCTAGACTTACTATTTTATGAAATGATACCGTTACCTGCTAGATTCTAGAAATTGAGAGCTATCCTTAGGTCTCCCCTTCATATCCCTCATCCAATCCATCAGCAAACTCTAAGGGCCTTGCTTTCACAAATACATCTGTATGTTGTCCACTTTCTTCCATCTCCATTGCTGAACTGCTACAATAGTATGCCCTCTTAACCATTTACAGTGCAACCAAACATAAATTATATCATGTCACTCCCTTGCTTAAAATCCTGCAATAGCAATTTTACCAAAATCCAGACTTCTGTCCCTAAAAGTGCAGCATGATCTTGCTGTGTTTACCTTCATCTACCATCATGATCAAGTTCTACTCACTATTTTAGAACCAATAAGCTTTCTCCTTCCTTGGTAGCTCTGCTGTTACTCTTCCCTCTGCCTAGACTTTCCCTTCCCATGACTTCTCATCCTCCAGATCTCGGCTTAAATGTCTTCTGACATGGGGCTTTCTAAGAGTACTTGAAGTGTCCTATCTTGTCAGAGCTCTCATGTTTTATCACAGGTTGTTGTTGTTATGTACCATCGAGTCAGACCCGACTCATAGTGACCCCTCCTTGGGTTTCCAAGGCAGTATCACTACGGAAGTAGATTGCTCCATCTTCCTTCCGAGGAATGGCTGGTGGGTTTGAACCGCCAGCCTTCTGGTTAGCAGTAAAGTGCCTTAGGCACTATGCTACCAGAGCTCCTGTTCTATCATATAGTAGAGCACATTTTATAGTACAGCACATTATGTTGGCATAGTGCCTAAGGTATTTGACTGCTAACCAGAAGACTGGCAGTTCAAACACACCAGCCACTCCTTAGAAGGAAGATTCTATAGAGATACCACCTCGGAAGCCGAAGGAGGGGTTGCTATGAGTCGAATCCACTCTAGGCAATGAGTTTGGTTTGGTTTTTGTTAACTATGTGTATTACTAGATTAAATTTGACAAGAGCTGAGACTGTCTCAGATGCCTTTGATTCCTTAGCTCTACCTAGTAATGGGCCTGTTGTAGATATTTTCTAGTATACCATTGTAATTTTCTTGTCATTTCTTGTAGTACATTACTTTTTTAGTACCAAACCTACCATCGACGCCATTCCAACTTACAGTGACCCTATAGGACAGAGTGGTGGTGGTGGTATCTGCTGTCAAGTTGGACCTGACTCATAGGGACCATTCCTTGGGTTTCCGAGGCAGTATCACTACAGAAGTAGATTGCCCAACCTTCCTTCCAAGGAGTGGTTGTTGGGTTTGAACCGCCAGCCCTCTGGTTAGCAGTCAAGTGCCTTAGGCACTATGGTACCAGAGCTCCTATAGGATAGAATAGAAGTGCTATAAATCTTTATAGAAGCAGACTGCCTCATCTCTCTCTTGCAGAGTGCCTGGTGGATTTAAAATGCTGACCTTCTGGTTAACACTAAAATGCCGTAACCACTATGCCACTGTTGTTATATGCCATGGAGGTCCTTATTTTCTTATATTAAGAATATATTATATTAACAGCAGAGGTATCAAGGAAGGAGAAAGCTTATTTGTTCTAGAACAGTTGAGTAGAGCTTGATTGTGATGGTAGATGAAGTTAATTTGCCCTTAATTTGTAACAATCCTAATTCAGATTAATACCAGATTTATAGTTTACTAAAACCTTGTTCTTAAATAGCTCCACTCCCTGCTCCCTCCTCTGTGCTATTATTGTCATAACAGATTACATCTTTATACATAGTATGCCCATCAATACAGATTACTGTTTTTTGCCATTGTCTTTCAAAATAAAAAGTTAATAAAAAATGCATTTAAGCTGTCTTTCATGTTTACCTGCATAGTTATCATTATCAGTGCTTGTTATTTCTTCATGTGGATTTAAATTACTGTCTAGTGTGTTTTGTTTCAACTTGAAGGACTCCCTTCGGTATTTCTTGTAATACAGATCTGCTTGTAATGGATTTGCTCAGTTTTTGTTTATCTGGGAATGTTTTGATTACTCCTTCAGTTTTAAAGGATAGTTTTGCTGGATAGAAAATTCTTGTTTGACATTATCTTTGTTTCAGAATTTTGAACAGGTCATTCCAGTTTTTGGAAGATCTGTTAATGGGAATCCTTTGCATGTGATGAGATACTTTTATTCAAGATTCTCTTTCAGTGATTTTATTATGTCACTAGGTGTAGATTAATGCTTTTCATCAAATATAGGATGTATGGTAGCATAGTGGCTAAGGCACATGACTGCTAACCAGAAGACTGGCAGTTCAAATCCACCAGCCACTCCTTGGAAGGAAGATGGGGCAGTCTACCTCCATAGTGATACTGCTTCGGAAACCCAAGGAGGGGTCGCTATGAGTCGGGTCCGACTTGATGGCACATAACAACAACAACATAGGATGTTTTTGGCTATCATTTCTTCAAATGTTCCTTCTGCCCCTTTCCTCCCCTTTGGGATTATCATTGTGGTGTCTTGGTTTTCTATTTCGTTCTTACAGTTTCTATCATTGATACTCTCTGTTTGGTGAGACAGTGTTCTTATATTTTAGTTATTTTAACATACTTAAAATGCTGATATGTGATCTTTTGTCTGTAATGTCTGAGCTTTCTCAGAGACAGTTTCTGTTTACTGTTTATTCTCAT